TGCCCTCACAGCCGCCTTTGATGCTGATATTACTTCTAACTTCTAAAAATAGCCCCAAGCCTTTGTAGTGCGCTGCCACTAGTCGGGTAATACAGCAACATGGGCAACATCTTTGGAGTGAAATGGCTGAGAGACGATTGAGGTGTATTTGGGAGTGCGATTGGTCTCCCTGGGGTTCAATAGTGTCACTGCCCTGGTTTCATCAGCAGAGCCTGAAAACAACGATTACTGCATCAAAGTTTGACCCGGGTCAGCAAGCTAAAGAAGTCATCACAAATATATCACTGTGGTCCTCCAGGTTAACTGACTGCATTGGCTGGACACATTTCAACACATTTACTGGAAGAAGGCTGGAAAAGACTGCAAGTGGGAAAAGACAATTTACTAATAGTGGATCTTTACCGTAAGACCTACTTCACGACTCCCACTGATGTCCGCTGTCATTGTGTCCTTGGGCAAGACACTTAGCCCCACTTTGCCTGAAGCCCCCCGCTGAAAGATCTCAGCTCCTGTGGACTCACCACCTGCAGGAGAATCAGTGAGGGGCTGGTGCTTTGTGGACTGGGTGCAGCTCTGACTGACACCCCCCCGACCCAGAAATGGATTAAAGGAATAGTTCACCGTTTTTACATACTGACATATGTTCTTACCTTACCTTAAGCCTGGTTCACACGAGACGATTTTAAAATTGTCGGCCGATTTTTCTCCGTGTTAGACCCCACACGGGGAGATTAAAAATCCTGCGTCTAACCACTTTGGTCGTGCAGTGTGTGGTGCGTAGCCACACGGCAAGATCACGCAAGCCACAAACATCACACACGAACCGACACCCCCCCCCCGAGCATTCCCAGGTCAGACGGAAATCTCACAAAATCTCTCGAGATCAAGCGTGACTTCAGAGTAAACAGTCATGGCGGACGAAGAGGATGCAGTGGCGATAGTGTGCAGTTTGTTGTTAACAGAGAAGAGACGTAATCCAAAGAAAAGGCAATGGTCAAAGCCATGCTGCTGTGTTTTGGTTTTTTTTCCGGTGTTTCCTCACCGGCCTGTCACCTCGTCTTCTTATTGGCTACACGCCGTAGTCATGGCAACGCGCTCGCTTGTCCTCGGAGGACACCACACACGACAAGAAATCGGGCCAAAACAATCCAACATGTTGGATATCCCCGATTTGAGATCGGGAGCAGTCCCGATGTCCTTCCGAGCGACGAGTGCAGTCTTAACCCACCACACACGGCAGGATAATCTGTAAGATTTTGTTACGGAAATCGGAGCGTTTCTTAAGATTGTCGTAAGGGGTAAATCGGGTCTAAATCGGCCTAAATATCCTGCCGTGTGAACCAGGCTTTAGACTAGTTAATATGTACCTGTCTGGTCTTAGTCCGTGCGCTCTGTCATGCAAACGGAGCAAAAACGGGAGCACAAACGCAGCCTCCTCTGTATACTGTATAGTACCCAAAAGGTAGCTCCCGCTAGAAGCTACCAAACTCTTCCAAGTGTTCCTTATTAAATGTATATAGTTACGTGACGTGTTACACTGCAAAGTATAGTAACACAGAGATGTAACTGTCGATTTTCTCAGCGGATAAAACGGGTACTATATTGTGAGGCGTAGTAATCTGAGGAGCGCTACGTCCGCGCACTAACTTCTCTCCGGAGACTTCTCTCTCGCTCACTTCCGTCAATAGAAGCAGCGTGACTTGTAGTACGGAGAGAAGTTAGTGCGCGGCCGTAGCGCTCCTCAGATTACTTTAAGGGGAAGAAAATGGATGGATGGATACAAATGCATTGGTTTTACAGAGCCCTTTTTCACAACAGTCAAAGAGTGATAGAAGCAAGTCAACCAGTGTGTGCCTTCATGTGACTCGTACTGATGTGGGTGAGGTGTCTTGCCTCAGGACACATTGACAGGTTGGCCCTTTAGACCTGCAGCGGTCCAAGCGTGGCATCTGGTCTTCCATCACAGTACTTAGCTTGTGAGATGTGACGGGACCAGGCTTTCAGATAGGATAAGATAAGAAAAGATGAGATAGACCTTTATTCGTCCCTCAGTGGGGAAATTGTAATAATAATAATAATAATGCATCGGTTTTATATAGCGCTTTTTTGGACACTCAAAGACGCTTCACATGTGTCATTATTCATTCACTCCAAACACGGTGGTGATAAACTACTAATGTAGCCACAGCTGCCCTGGGGCACACTGACAGAAGCGAGGCAACCAGTATGTGCCATCGGCCCCTCCGACCACCACCAACCATTCACACACACACCAGACTCTTTCTAGGCAACGGGGGTGAAGTGTCTTGCCTAAGGACACAACGGCAGTTTGGCACTTTACAGCCGCAGCCGCCCCACTGTGGCTGGTGTTCCCAGAGGTTAAGTGTCTTGCCAAGGACACAACGACAGTAGTCAGTGGGAGTCGATGGTGAAAGTCTTGAGCGGGGCTTGAACCCACGACCTTCTGGCTCAAAGGCCAACGCTCTACCAACTGAGCTACTGCCGCCCTGTATTGTACCGTTCTATGAGCACCAGTAACATAGCATAGTTGTATGTTCATTCAGTTTTACACTTATTTCATGAATCCTGTGAAGCCTTGAAGACTAAGAAACCAATGTATCCAACATGAAATTCAGTCTAGTTTTAAAGTCCACTACAGTATGTTATGCCTATGTATGAGTGTTTGTACATGGTTATTGGATAATTACAATGTGTAGCCTCTGTAGTATGAAGGTTATTTAGTGTTTTTATCGTCAACATTTTTTTTGCTTTTGAATATATATAACTATAACACAAAAGTATTTAGTGTAAATAAATGTATCAAAAGTATCAAAATATTCAATGTTTTAAAATTCAGTGTCAGAATATTCAATGTTTTAAAATTCAGTGTCCAAAAATTCAATGTTTTAGAATTCAGTGTCAAAATATTAACACATTTTTGGACACTGAATTTTTTCAACCTTGAATTTTTGGACACTGAATTTTAAAACATTGAATATTCTGACACTGAATTTTAAAACATTGAATATGTTGATAGTGAATTTTAAAACATTGAATTTATTTACACTGAATACTTTTTTGTTAGAATTTATATAATTCAAAAGCAAAAAAAAGTGTTGATAATAAAAACACAAAATAACCTTCATACTGTAGGTATATACTTGTGGATATATAGTTGCAATAAAGTTAGGTGGTATATGTTGTGTACCTGCAAAGTTTGATGCTCAGAAGGGAATCTGTGCAGAAGGGGAAATGATATCTTGCAGGTTTGCTACGTCTTGTGCGACTTGAGAGAGAAAAATAAGAATAAAACTTCAGCTTGAACCCAGACTAAATTACTGAATTAAAGCTATGGATATAAAATAACATTGTTGAGTTTGTATGCAATTAACACACCATTCAAATGTTATGTTTTATTGTCATTTAAATGCTTCTGTTTTTAAGCACGTGGAAATGTGCAATACAACCTAATGTGTTGTCATTATCATTAATTAGCGTTTATTACAACTGAAAGCATTTATGTACATGTCGATAGCTATTGCGTACAGCAGAATTCTTCCCACCTAAGCACTTCAAGTCAACTTTTCTTTTTACTATTGTTTCTTCTGCTGCATAGTGAGAAAGTCGCACGCGCGCACACACACACACACACACACACACACACACACACACACACACACACACACACACACACACACACACACACACACACACACACACACACACACACACACACACACACACACACACACACACACACACACACACACACACACACACACACACACACACACTGGCTACAGCAGTTTATCTCCTTCCCACTTGAGCAGCCAGACTATATAGAGGGGGTTGTGACGGAATAGTTGTGCGTCAGCATAAAATAAAACTACCTTTGGGACCAGCAGTTAGACGATACAGTGTAAGCGTCAATATTAGTTAACTTAAGCCAATAAAGAGTCTGTGTGACCATGATGGTAATGAATATGCAATCTAAATCTGTCTGTATGTTCAGTGCGAAGCGATGCAGTCGATATGTGCTTATTTTGAAGTCACTTTCTCTAAATTCAGGAAAGTAAAATGTTTAATGGAAGCACAGGTTAGACCCGGCTTATGCTCATTCTTCCTCCTCCTGGGCTGAATACAACTTGTATTAAATGTTTAAATAATGTGACCTGTTTTGTCGTAACTATTGGGGTCACAATGTTTGCGTGCTATTTAATAATACAGAGTTTCATTGCCATTCAAGACAGTTATTATTTTTAGCTCAGTACACAATAGAGATATGATAAAGTAATAAGGTTTTATGTAGTAATTTTTTGGACACTCAAATACGTTTCACATGTCATTATTCTTTCACTCCAGACACAGAAAAGCTACTACTGAGGCCACAGCTGCCCCGGGGCACTCTGACAGAAGCAAGGCAAAACAGTATGTACCGTCAACCGCTCCGACCACCGACACCAGACTCATTCTTTGAGTTGAATCAAAACAATCTGCTTTTAAAAATGGCATTAGCATCACAAGTTACAGAACAGCAGGAATGAGGAGCACACAGCACAAGATAAGTGAACAATAGCTATACTACTAAAATACAACAAAAACTCTAGCATCAAAGGACAAGTATAAAATCTCCATCTGTTTGCCGTGCTTCTGTAATATATTAGTAACGTTCTAGAGTTAAACAAAAAAGAGCGCGGTTTGAAATATTATCTGCAATGACGCCCGATGAAACTTACTATGGCGTATAAGCGATGATAGATTTGTCACAACCGCCAGTGACCGTGTGATTCCTGAAATCAAAATGTCAAGACTTCTCATTTTCCTGACTGTCGACAGAATTAATGCGGCAGGGGCTCATTACAGGCGCGCTTTACACACACCCAGAGAGAGGATAGAAGCAGTTTAAATAACAGGTTAAAAATGTGACATCTGCAATTCATGTATGCAGTTATTGACGACAGAGGGGTTTAAATTGTGCTCACCTTTCTCCTGAGTCAGGTCTAGCTTTTCAGTGGTGTCATCGCTGCAATAAAAGACACAAGTTATTCTCATTTGGTTAAAGCTGGGGTTCCTATCTTTTCATAAATATTACATAAAGTTCGTCCAAAAATTAACCCCGTAGGCGCCACGGTTGACTTTAGTCGACAATATGCGGTACAATTTAAAACGGCTGATTCTGTCACACAAATGCCACACTCCTGCCACACCGTTTGCAGGTTTTACTATTTCTCTGACCCTTGAGTATGGTGGCATATGAGTTCTGTTTGTGTGTTCATGTCCCAGTGATCTGGGTCACTTGGACACACGACAATTGCCAACACCATATGAAGTCATTGGTCATAATATGCTAAAAATAGATGGGTACTTTTATTTCCCGCATAAACTTTGGGCCATCCTTTTAATTTCTCTAAATTACATTAAGCCTCTATCTCTCATCACTTTTAAGTTATTGAGAAATTAAAATGTCAAAGTTGAGCCTTTTAGGAAGAAAACCTCTGGCGACTAAAGGGTTAAGAGAAAGTAGAGAAACATGTAAAAGTAACATGTGAACAAAACAGACTCAAAATGCAGGAATGTAGAAAAATATTTATTTAATGATAATTATTTTTAAGTCAGAGGTAAACACAAACTCAAAAATCCAAAAAGAAACACGGGAACCAGGAAATAGACAGACAAAGACAAACACGGACAAAGAATGGACCAGCAACACACGAGGTACATACAGTAAATATATAGACAGAGACACAAGTGAAAAACACTAGGGCGGGGCAGACAAGCAAACAGGAGAACAGGACAGGAAGCAAAACTTAAAATGAAATCACAGAACAACTACTGGAAATTAAACCAATTAACAAATAATCCATACCATTTATGAGACTGTATGTGCAGTTTTGTTAATACTGAGCTGGTCATTACAACCGGTGCAGCAGAAGTCAGTAGTTTTCCACTTGATGTGTTGGTAATCTGACTCAGACGAGGCTGATGCTGAGGGGAGCTTCTGTATTTTGACTTGGTATAAAACCATGAGAACGCTGTGAAAACTCTGGTCGTGTTGTTTTTTGCTGTGAACCAACATCAACAATTCTTCTGATGAGACACGATCCTAGACCTTCGCTTCTTTTTTGTTTTCCTCACGTAGTTTTGCATATAAAAGAGCCCTGCAAGTCACTATCTGACTCTATGGGGGAGAGCTGATTGGCATTTTCTGTCTGTTTTTTTCTTTTTTCTTCAAAAATGTGAAAACTAGTGATACAACCAAACTGTTTAGAGAACTGGGAACTATAGCTAGATGTATTTCATTGCTTTGGTCCGTTTCTGTTGTTTAACAGTTAATTGTCCCAGCTTCAAAGGGAAAAAAACAACTTCAAGTCAAGTCACGTCTTCCTCGACTTTCAAGTGTCTCAAGTCTATGTCTCAAAGTGAAGCATTAACACAGTTGTTATCTGCTCTTCCCTCCTTCGACACCCCTCCCTGCCCCCCTCTGCTGCGTCTGGGTGCCAGAACCTTGCCATGGCTAACAGGAAGCAGAGGGCACAGTGCTTTATTTAATTAGTCACAGCAGCTGAGTGCTCATGTGGAACCAAACTGTTGAGGCAGATTGGGCTAGTGAGATGGATAGACACTCTCCCACCGGGTCTTGGCTACGCTGTCAGAGGAGGCCAGATTACATGACAGGGTGGGGGCACAGGGGGGCGGACAGTAGTCTCGGTTAGAGGATGTAAATGGCATCTGTACAGGAGGACTCATCCCAAATAGCTCAGTCTTTCCACAAAAGCACTCGCTAACTTGTGTCTAAACTGCCAGCCAGAGTGCCAGGCCACTGTTGTGATGCACAGTACTCCGTGGCTTGACTATTATTAGGCCTGACAACATTCATTATTCCAAATGATTTAGAGAGAAGCTATTTATTTCTATGGCTTCTGACAATGATCAGGTGGCCTTTCCCTGAGCGGCGAGCAGATAACCCTGTACACTCCATGTGCTGCACATCCTTGATGAGTGATAAAAGGGGAAAAAGAGGCTGCAGCTGTCAGTGTTTAGAACTTTTTCCTCTGCTAGAATAATTATCTTTCTTGTCTCTGTGCGAATTATTATCCCTGAAGTTTTAACATAACGTCTTTGTAAATGGGAGTGTTCTAAAAGTAGTGTGAGCCTTGACTTTATAACTCCTGTCAATCATTCTTATGTGTTTCATTTTGAGTTATTACTTCCCTCTTTCTTACTTTTCATTTCTATTGTAAGGAATCCAAAAATAAATATGTTAAGGAGAGTGCTGAGGTGTCTCCACGGTGAGTTGTTGTGGGGCATATTGCAATATCAAAAAGAATTTCATCCCATTATGAATCTTATTTATATTAAAATCATATAGTGGAATTGGAATTTTTTAATTTGCATATAGATGTGGATAATTAGTAAGCTATTTGACTGGGCAGTATTCTCATCATAGCAAACAATTACTATGCAGAGCTGATTATAATAGTATGAGTCTCCCAATTCTCTTGCCAGTAAGGTACAGAGATCAATTCATCTATACATGTATATATATATAATTAGCAAACAAATCCCAGTCACCTTCATGTATGTCTGTTTCACAGTTTATAAAAAAGGCAGCGTTTGTGACTTCATTAAAACTGTATGAACGGCTGTGAGCTGGTTGATTATCTAAAATGTTTAGTATCCGTGACATCACAATGCACTGTGATGTCACCATTTAACTTTCACACAATTAGCTGAATAAAGAGAAGCGGTGGATATTTTGATCATTGTAAATTGATAGAATGTGGTAAAAAACAGTAAAAAAAAGTTCAGTCTGGATGCAGAGAGAATCGGATTATTAAATATAATAATATTCATTTTTGCTTCACTGGACTGTGCAGACACACATTAAGTTGTTGTGTCTGCACACAACAACTTAGTGTGCTTCGGGTGGATTCAGCTGATCTTTGTGCAGAGGAGCTGCCTTGTTCGGTGGGTGGAGGGTGGTGTTATAATGTGTTGTTTTGGTGCCACTGGAGCCAGTGCTGTTTCAAAGTAAAGTTACAGAGTTAAGAGAGTGCACCCTGCAGCGCGGCAGCATCACACAGGGATTGTTAAACCAGTTTTGTTGACCAGACCTTTTGGTGAGGAAAAAAAAGGTGGCCACCACCGATCAAACCTGCATTTACCCGGACTTGCACTAGTTTTTTGCATTTAAGCTTCTCAAACATTCATGGTGGTGGAGTGGTGTTATAGCAAAGCAGAGAAAAAGTGCATCACAAGAATAATGTGCATTTCTGTGGAGCAATGGTGTGCTGGGAGCACTCTTAATTAGCACTCTTGAAGTTATCCAGTGACCCACATCAAATAATGAAGGCACCATGAATGTTCTATTTACATATCTTGAGTCAGTAATGTGTGACCGTTGGGAAGGCCTTGTGGCTGAGGAGGTGCCAGTGTGAGGAGAAGACGCATAGGGCGGCTCTTCAAGAGCCTCTCAAATCAAACTGTAGCTGTGCCGAATGACTTGCAGTGACCTGTAAGTAGTCACAAAGATACTGCTACGGATCTATATGGATTTATATTCCGTGCCTTTTATGGTACAGTAGTGAAAAAAACAGGAAAACATTTGATAACACATCCAGTCCTGGAAATCAGTGTATGTAGGTTTCAAATATTTGTTTCAGTTCCATTATGAGATGCCTGACATACAGAAAAATAATCATTTCCACTATTTTCTGCCGAGCTCAACAACATTAAAGAGTGCACAAACTAGATGCCCCTGTGCTGTGTAGTTTGAGGCCATGTTAAAGGAATAGGCCACCGTCTTTACATACTGACATATGTTCTTACCTTACCTTAGACTATTTGATATGTACCTGTCTGGTCAGAAATGTAACATGTCGATTTTCTCAGCGGATAAAAAGTCACGCTGCTTCTATTGACGGAAGTGAGCGGGAGATAAGTCTTTAGGAGTTAGTGCGCGGACGTAGTGCTCCTTGTATTATTACGCCTCACAATATAGTACCTCTTTTTATCCGCTGAGAAAATCGACATGTTACATTTCTGTGTTACTATACTTTGCAGTGTAACACGTCACGTAACTGTATTTAAATAGGAAACACGTGGAAGAGTTTGGTAGCTTCTAACGGCAGCTGATTTGGTACTATACAGTATGTGGAAGAGGCTGCGTTTGTGCTCCGTTTGCATGACAGAGCGCACGGACAAAGACCAGACAGGTACATATCAACTAGTCTAAGGCAGTGTTTTTCAACCACTGTGCCGCGGCACACTAGTGTGCCGTATGATATTGTCTGGTGTGCCGTGAGAAATTCGTCTACTTTGTCTAAAAATAACTGCATTCGCTGTTGACGAGCGGTGACTTGTTTTGAACTGTGGAGTAACCATGTAATACTTTTTCAAATCAGTAGATGGCAGCAGATAGCTAAGTTCTTTGAAACTGAAAAATTGGATGGACCACTGACAGCCAGTGGTCGCATCCAATTTTTCAGTTTCAGGTCAGCATTGTGGCGAGAAAGGTAAAATTGGATGCGACCAACAAATGTGGGAGGGAGCGAGACAAGAGCTTTGTGGCGAGTGAGAAGTGAAAGTGATAGAGACGTTTTTGAAAATGAATTATGCCGTTTCTGAACAGGATTAACATCCTCCGCTCTGCCCCGGGGCAGCTGTGGCCGCGTTGTAGTGGTTTAACTATGAAATGTACCATTTTTGTACAACAGCTCTCGTGAACGCACTTCTGAACTGGGTACCGAGCGCAGACCATAGTCGAGTGGACAGAACCACAGACATGCGGACCGGACAGAACCATGGACTCGCGTTCAGGACCTCCCGTGTCCCTCATCCAAAACTCCTGAATTTAAAGCTCGGATACCTAAATTTTTCCCATGCACTAACAATGCATGTTCTTTGTGTGAGTTATTATTTGACTATGGGCAGAGAGTGGATTTTCTTTTATTTTTCTTTTATTTTTTTCCACACAGTTAGTGCCACTTTATTCCCAAACTCTTGTTAATTGTATCGAGAAATATTAAATAAAGCTTAATGTCAAGGCCTGGACTTAAGCATTTTGATGAGAATAACTGTATATTGTGAATATAGGCTACAGAGTATACAGTATACATTATAAGATAAGATAAGATATACTTTATATATCACACAGAGTATGTACAGTATATATTTTTAAATTAGTACTGTATACATTTTTACATTTTCTCCTGGAGGTGTGCCGCAAGATTTTTTTCAGTGAAAAAGTGTGCCTTGGCTCAAAAAAGGTTGAAAAACACTGGTCTAAGGTAAGGTAAGAACATATGTCAGTATGTAAAAACGGTGGACTATTCCTTTAAGAATCTTTCCATGTCAAATACCCCTTAAATTGGAGCTTGACTGTTTGTTAAACAATATTTGCTACTGCTGTAAAGGCAACAAAGCCCTCTGAGTCCTACCCCAGTGGAAATGAATGAGCCCAGGTTCCTAGTCATCACTAGTTATTGTTCCAATCAGGCCGTGCTTTGAAAGGGGAGGCGTGCTCTCCTTTGGACAGCTCATTAAGATAACACACAAATGTGCCTTGCCTTGCCATCATCCTGGGTTTATTAAACTGGGGCTCATTTCAACTCTATTGTCTCATGCAGGAACCTCTGCCTTTGTCAGCGCAATTGGAGCCAGATGGCAAAACAAAGCTGCACTGTCTGAAGTGCTTACAGAGGGATCTTAGAAGGCAGAACCATTAGCTTAACTTCAACAACCCGCCGCCCACCATGTCCACCTGGATCAGCCAGGTGCTCAGACAATGACCAGAGACATGGCAAAGGGGCAGCTGGGAGTCGTAGCCTTGATCGGTAAAATGCTGGAATCAAATTTGATTGGCCGTCCCATTTACGAGACTCACAGATTGGCATTGAAAAAAATAGGTAAAAGTGAAACAAAAAAATTACACAAGGAAAATTTGGTGATCTGGATGGACTGACGTATTGTTCTTTGTAATTTTTGGGTTTCATATGACGTCAGGGCAGTGGCGCGAATAACAAACCTAGGACAGGACGTGACGTACCCTGACGGTGCAGTCTGCCGGGTAAATACACGAAGATATAGTAGAAGAAGAAGCGCTGTCAAAATGCCATCTTTTTGTGCGGCGAACGCTTGTAGCAACCGCGCAAATAGAGAGAAAGACAAGAGTTTCTTTGTGTTCCAACTGTGGTCTCATATAAAGGAGTTCACTTTGAACAAATCACTCGAATGAGGTGGGCGAGGTGGATCAAGGCTTTCCCAGATAAGCGCCCCCTGCAGGCCACCCAATGAAACGCAGTTTCTTCTGTTTTTCTTTCCAAAAATGCCTGTGACTCTTTTGAGAAATATTTTTTAGTACTCCCTGAGAATTGAGTGTCCCCCTCCTGATTAATATTGTTACAGAAACCGTACACCGCACAGGAGGAGAGCCTTTAGACTCCAAAACAGACACGATTTACATGGTTTTCAATAGGAGCAAAACTGAGTTGTCCCACCTCTGCTGATTTGCCCTCTACAGGCCAGTTTAATGAAACCCAAGAATTCCAGTGGATGCAGATATTATGTTTGGACCAACACTCTCAAAGTACAGTTTATACAGTATATGGTATGGTGAGAAACTTTGCAAAGAACAAATATGAATAAAAATGAAAGTTCACTGAAAAATCTGATCATGTTTTACAGTAGACCATAATTTGACATCCACAATTTTAGCTAAAAAATTTTACCTACATTAGAAGGAACGTGAAATCTATATAACTATAGATTATGGCTATTTAATAATAATATCAAATTTTTCTCTTGTTGCAGTTTTTATGTAGGCCAGATATATTCCACTGTAATGGTTGAAGCTGTGGCACCAATGCATAATGTAAAAACCTTGTTGTGTGTCTGCTTCTCTGGCTTTGCCTCCAACAATTGCACGCGGTGAGAAGAGTAATAATATCGTTTTGTTGTGTTGAATGATTCCAGAGCCTGAAGCTGGTCTATTTTCTGGTGTTCTGGTGTGTGCATATGCTTTATCAGAGCTGACTTGAGCACTTTCCCACCTGGATTTCTTCGAAACAAACTCCAGGCGTTCATTTGCATATGGTGCAATGTATACACACTTGTTTTAATTTCGTTCTAGTATATTTTGAAACACATGTGCCTTTATGTATTCGAGCATACAAACACAACATGACCTCAATCCAGTTCAATTAATAACAAGTTCAAAAGGATAGTGGAAAAGAAGCATAGCCCTTTACAGCACTAATCCTTATTTGCAAAATATATTTTTTGCATGGAAACAAAAATCATATTACAGGTGGATTATGCAACTTTGGAAGTAAAAATTGCATAATGCATTTTTCTTTTTGCATACTTGACTTTGCAGTGACCCAGCGGCTGTATGTGGGGTCATTATGGGGCCGTTACTTTCTCCTAGAGAAAGGCTACAGCATCAATTGTTTTTGAAGGTTTTCTCTGCGCTGTTGAACCACCACAACAGAAATCCTACGAGCCAACAAATTCAAGGCACCATGATGTCTCCACTCTTACCCTCACTAGGTCCCCACAAAGTCAAATAAACAAACATATACACTATTTTTGTTCACATAAAAACTTGCATAATGCACTTTTATATACAGGTATATGTTTAACTTTTTTCTTTTTTTATTGAACGATAACAGGCCAAACATACCTTTATGAAGTGCAGGATTGCATTTCTTTTTCAAATGTCTAAACGGCATTAGATAAATCAACTCTCAACACTTTCATTATGTTTTTTTTTTTTATTTTTTTTTACGCCGACAGCCAGTATCACCCTAAACATTTAGCTGTTGTTATTGTTTATTCCCACCTCCTAGATATTCTAAAAAAAATTCTTTAAACATAAATAAGCGAAACAAATAGAATGATACTCAATAAAATGAACTAAATTGTGAATAAACCTTGAGCCAGAATGAAGGAAGGAATGGTTCTTCTGGTGCATAGGGGAATTTTGCATAATAGCACAAGGACACTGTCATGTGTGAAGGCGGTCGCTTAAACAAAATTGACTGACCTGTCTTTGACTCGTCCTCTTCAAGCTCCTTGGCCTCTTCTGCAGTGGAGAAAACAAAGGAACATCGTCAGCCACACAAAATGCCGCACACACTATTGCCACTTCATCGTCAGCCTATGAAAAGCTGATCCCTCACAGCTCAGAGGACAAGTTGTAATGAGAGAGACTGTATGACGAGCAAACCAGGGACAACCGCACATATTATGACACATCCAGCCTCCGTTCTCACAAAGACAGTAATCACATTATACTTTAGCTGGTGGCTTTCTAAAAAACCCACTGTCAACAGAGTTCGAGAGGCACTGCACTGATGGCTGTCACACTGACACCAAGGCTAAAAATAGCCCAGGGAGAGAGTGTCTGCAAAGTCCAAATTAATTCTTCATTTTCATTTCCCTTTTTCCTGTACACTAAGTGAGAAGGCTCAGATTCCAATGATAACAGATGGGAATCTTGTGTCAAAACAAGCCATTTATGTACAATCCAGTGTTTTCATTGCAAGATTTTTTTTTTGAGAGAGAGAAAGAAAATTGTCCTCCTGGGAAATTAACCAGAAATCCGCACTATTAGAGTAGAAGTGCGTGCTTAGATTTCCAGTTGACTAGATTGTATGTACAGGCCTTAAATAAATACAGTATAATGTGCTACATTGTGTGTTTACCTGCAAAACTGTGAATTAATTGTTTCTGCTGAGATATGAACGAGGAGTTAGTCTGCCCTTATAAATATTAGTGGTAGTTATTTTGCCTCTTCACAGCAGGATCTGTTTAATTATACATTCTTACTACCATGAAAAGATCCTACAATTAGTACTATTTCAAAGTATGCATCCGTGGTCCCATCCTTTGGTGGAACAGCGTAGTTCATTTGAAAGCACCTAGGAGTCGGGGTGAGAGAGAGGGCATTGGCAGTACAGTAAGCTCGAACTGCTTTCCTCGTACATTAGAGTCTTAGCCATCTTTTATCCCCACTGGCGGCTTCCCAGTCGTGCAGGGGTGAGGGAGGAGCAGGCAGGTTAAGGGTGAAAAGAACATAAAAGACCAAGGAGCAAACGAACAGTGGGATGTGTTAACCGCAACTGGGGGAGTGTAAAAGTGTATCTCATCACACCGACGCTGCAGAATCCTGAGGTTGATGCTGTGAGCAGCTACTATAAGGCAAAACCGGGCAATGGCTCATGTTGCCCTTTGAGTCTTTCTTTTGAAATTATAGATCAGGCATGTCAAACACGCAGTAAAATATGTTTTTGTGCTCCCTGGTATGATGTTAAATTCTTATTTTTAACTTGCAGCATTGAGAACAAGACATCGGCGAGGCTACCACCGCATGTTATACATCAATTTGAAGCACATTTTCTCAAGAAAACAGCTACATTATTCACTGTATTCCAATCATTTTCAATGTCAATTTCTGTCTGTAAAACCCTGCAGTTGTCTTGGAAGACTTTACACAACTGTAGAGTAGCATACAACAGATTAGAGGGTCAAACAAATAGATCAAGGAAATGCAGAAATAAAAAACACACATAGAAGCCATTGGTCAATGTGGACCTGGGGGAACAATGCTTGTAAATTTTAATAAATGCCTTTACACAATCCCTGTCCTTATAAATCCTGCGCTGGGAAAGACCCTCCTGCATATGCAAGATACATAATATAGATGTAGAACAATGACTACAAAAGTGAAAGAAACAGAATACCTTAAAAGTATAGCCAAAAAGGTTTTGGCATCGACCAGCTATATATTTTTTATTTGGCTCCTCACCAAAATGACTTCGACTCCCCTGCTATGGTAGATTATAACTGTAGTACCTTAGTATTGCTCTACGCTATATTTACAAAAAATTTTTGGGAGTTTGCTATTTTGCATCAATCGTATATGTTGAGGAGATTGAATGTGTCAAAGTACATGACAGTACAAGTATTTTTCCAGTATGCACAGGTATTATACCATACAAACAATTGGTGAAACCTTTTGTAGAATGAGTGTAGAATGGTTGCATAGAATATAGGAATTAGAATGAAATGCAGAGATCCCTATTCATTCATTAATCTATTATAACTAGACATCTTTTATCATTAACTTTAATTTGAGTCGTGCTGAGCCTTTTACTTTAAATGCTATGTTCTCAGCTAGACAGTGGTAGTATTTAATAAGGGGGAAGCCGTGTAGGTTAAATACTGGCAGAAAAGTAATAGATCTCCTTTGGGGGATTTCTGCCTCAGATTCTGCTTCGCTCATGACTTTTCCTCTCACCCAGGGGAGCGCTGTCCCATGGTTCACACTTAGATCTTCAATAGCCGGTTTGAATAAAACAGATTGCGGTAAAACGAGCCCCAGGTAAAGCATGAAATGCATAGTCACTTTTATTATGCAAGGTGAAGCTAAATGTAAAACCTGCTTTAAACATGCGCCCCAACAGATTGAATGACGCTTTTTTTGCATTCTGGCTGCATCACTCTTCCCTGCTACAAAGCACGTCCGGCTCCTCTACATACATTACACAGGGCTGAGAAAAAGACTAGCATGCCCACTTTTGTTGACCCTTTCACCCCTATCGCCCAAACGCAGTGAAGAGAGACAACTTCAATTTGGTTCTACCTAGAAACACTCATTCATTAAAAGATAAGACAGGCACAATTAGGCTGCACTTCATCGCTATTTGTTCCCTCATCCCGGCTTTGAGAGCACGCATAAGGAGCACTATTCTCGGCGTATTCACTCTGGATTCAATTTGCATCGTTCTGTATCTTCTTTGAGAGTGGCGATGCTCAGTGAATTGGCTCCAGCTCCTATGTCTTGTATTCACGCTCGTAAAACAGCAGAGGAAAGATTATGTGCGGGGGAAGAAGGAGTAGAATACCGGTTAACATTTCAGTGCATGGAACAGTGGTTGACCATATAATCAATCTACGCTGTGAGCAAGGAATTGCAATGCAGCACCTTGTTCGGTCTAAAAGAAAAGGTCCCCGAGAGCCCTTTGCTCATGGGAGGAAGGACAAATATTTCTATCTTTCCACTTTATTTGATTTCATATGTTCCAAGGAGCTATTTACTCTATCCACGGAGTCTGTGTCACTTCCATATTTATTTTTAAACCTCTGGGCTCTGGTGCAGGCACTGGGTGACCTTTCTTTAAATGTCTTCTCCACTCCGAGCGGATCTCATTACAACAGAACTAGTGGCTTTGCACTATCTATCTCATTTCAAAACTTTTTTTCCTCTCGCTCTCTCAGATTTTTGCACTTGCGGCGGTCCTTGGTCATTCTGCAATGCTAATTACTGAAGCTGCTGGTGTAATGATGTTCCTTCACTGCAGAGAATATGCGTCTTGCCATCTTCGATCCAGCAGGATATCTTGTGTTAAACAGAATTCCCCCTGGATTCCTTTTTCGGTTATATGCTAATATCTAATCATTTCTTCTCTTACATGATCAGGCCAAAGTATTAAAATTACACTACACCCCTCTTCTCCATTTCAAGATAATAGTCCATCTAGAAGAGACAAAATGTACTAATTAAATTAGTGATACAAACTATTTTGTTTAAAAGGGTCAATCAGGCGATATTTCCTCCCAAATGGAAAAATATCGCCCCTCTAAACTTTTGGCTCCAATACATTTAAGGAATTTTGTCTTATAAACATTGGTTATTGTGTTACTCTATAGGCAAATGACTTGTGTGTTTTAAAATGGTTTCTTGTTATAGAGTATTTCCTTGTGTTCATATTGTTTGATTCTCTAAACTTTTGGTGAATTGACCATTAGGCCTGTCGCGATAGTCAATAAATCAATTAATCGCACGATAAATAAAATTTGCTCAATAACTTTTCTGGCCGCGATAAATCCCATTTGCATGCTTGTTTGTTTCCCCCGTCTCTCTCGGGTCAGAGAGCCGCAAAGTGGTCACGGGAACATTAGCGGTCTAGCAAGCAGACGGAAATTACTCAAAAATACAAAATACAGCCAAAACAGGACCTAAACCAGGACTTAACCAGGATTGATAATCGGGGACACAGTAGTTGTGAACATATGCCGGCAGCTGAGTTCTCATTCAGGCTTGATTAGTGACTATACTAGCGCAGCTAGCGTTAGCGCGTTCGCCGATGCAGAAGTACCGTACCATACCAATAAAATAAACTTATGGCGCACCTCCGTGAACACATACTGCTGTTATATAAAGTCTCTAGAAGGTCTCTGAACACAGAGATGCTGCAGACTTGCATTTTTGGAGTAGAACTTTACACAAAAAACCCGCTAGCTTAGCTGTTAGCATCAAAGCCCGCCCCGCTACTTCCGGTGGGCGCTACCGCAGCAGGACTTCTGTACGCCCCATTGGTAAACCTACATGTCAGTCACTTGTCATTCGCCTGGTGTGTGGGGAGGTGGGACTACTCCTGAGAGATCCTGTCTTAAACCCATGGATCTATTATATTAACTGGATAGAGTATTACTAGCTTGTAGCTGAATAACCCACGTGCTCAGGGGATTCTCGCGGTACTGCAGACTGAACCAGACTAAATTCACGTGGGCTACCCAGAAATTTTCCCCATAGAACTCAATGCATATTAAAACAGCTCAACCTCAGCTGACAGAGAACCTACAGCTTTAATAAAGATCGGATTTTGTGGGGATTTTAGTGTCCCTTGTCATCCTGAACTTTTTTTCTTCTTAAATCCTTCGGTTTTGTTTAAATCCACACTTTAGTGCCACAAACTCTGCTCGTCTGGCTCTCGCTCTAACTCCCGCTCTGATGAACTGCTCTGATTGGTCAGAGCGCGGCCGAGCCCCTCTGTGCACGTGCGTGAGACCTGGTGTGAGACCCAGACACGCGTGTTTGGCGCAACGCATTATGGGAGATCATCCACTGCGCAGAACCGGGAGGACCAGACGATGCCCAAATACAGGCGAGTTTCCCAAGTTTCCCGAGTTTCAGGCAACTTCCGCTAATCTTTCAGCCCCCATGCCGTCACAAAGCGCCACTGAGCACAACCATTCATTTGAATAGGGCGCCATCTTGGATCGCCAGGGCTTGCTTAAACCACACAAAGTCAACATGTTGGTATTTCTTTCTCGTAATCTGCCATAAAGTCTGAGAAATTATTGACATTTGAGGCATCTGTTTCATATTTTCTTTACAAAGGTCCTGGCAGTTTTATTCCTGGTCATTTTTTGTTAAGAGACTGAGTATTTTATTTATTGTTTTTGGTTGTTTGTAAATTTATTGTGTTCTAGCGTTAAATATTCGTTAAAAATAAAAGTTTATTTCTCTTTGAAAAGGTGTACCTGCATGATCATTGTAATCGATGCAAATGATCTCAGAACGACAATATAATCGCTTATCGCAATAATTTCTGAGACAATTAATCGTCCAGCAAAATTTGTTATCGTGACAGGCCTATTGACCATTTGTAGGACTGCTGTTGTGACTTTGGGCGATAGAAAGTTGAATTCAAGTTTACATTTTAATACAGGCCCAATAAGTCTGTCCATTTCCGTATTCAGTTCCAGCGCCTTGCCACTGCTCCACTGTAGATAAAGATACAGACAGCCGCTATATTTTCCTCTGAGAAAAAATTACATCCGCATATCAGAAAAGAAAAGCAGTTGGTGTATCTCGGTGGTGATGGTCAGAGGAGTCAGGGGGGTATAACAACTAGGAAGTGTGAACATGCGCTCCGCTGGGTAATAACCGTAGAGTGTAAATATGAACAGACGTATTGAAGCCCATTTCCTCAATTGAAATGTACAAGTCATCAACATGTACCTTTTCAAAATGGCGGCGAGTAGCTCTTGGTAAAAAATGCTTTTGCGCATGCGTTAGTTGGCAATAGCCGCTTTCGATGTGGAGGCTTCATTAAAAAGTCCACAGCTGATAAACCAAGTTAGTCCAAAAAATGTATATACTCCTCTCAGCATTGACACACATGTGGTTCTTAGCGTTGAGTCAAGAGCAAACTTTCGGACAACTTTATGTTTTTGAGAGGAAAAATTGCATTGGATAATTCTGTTTCCGGGTATGCCACCGCAGGAGCTAGATTGCAAGTATGTCAGTGCGAGTGCTCATGAAACCTTTTGAAGCGGGACCCCACTAGTAATAACATGGTCAAGAGCTGATTTGCATGTTATGTCCCCTTTAAATACATTTGAAACTTAAAGGAACTGTATATATATTATGCTCATTTGGTGGTCTAATGAAGTTTTTACAATTAAAATACAACTTTTTTACCCAGAATAATTCTTACCTTCTCTACTCCAGCTTAAACTTTGAATCCCAGGAAATCCCAGGATCATAAGGACACATATAAACAGTGTGGATGTATCGCATTGCTCAACTGTCCTGGTGGTGAGAGTTGAGTTTCAAACTTGTTTTAATTTATTCTACCATTACGGATGATTGTAGTGCTTAAAAACCTATTTTCTTACATTGAGAAGTCTCCTCTCCACACACAGTACATCACTTTTGACTTGGCCGAGTGAAGTCACAAGTCTGTTTCCACTGTAAATAGAACTTTGAATGACAAACTGTAGAAAGGTTCAGTCCAAACAACACCCTTTAGATGAACTCACCAGGAAAGTTGAGCAATGCACCTTTAATGTCTTTGCTTGGCATTCAAAGAATGTGATCAAAATGGAAGAATAATGTTTAACAAGCGAGAAAAGAAATTCTTCTGCTAGTTCAACAATTCCACCAGTAATGATGACAGAATCTTAGGGCGCACTTTGAACATGCCTGCTGAAAAATAGAAAACATATTGCTGTTGTCACTGTTAGCTGACCTTCTCTCCTGGCTTCTTCGCAGCTCTCCTTGATCTTACGACGACAAACCGCAGCCAGGGCAATGAGGAGCACGAGCAGACACACGGCCAGGCCCACGGTCACCCACAGAGCCACCGGAGGGAACGCCGTGCTCTGGCCTGCAGCAAAGGGCACACACGCACAGAGAACCATCATTATTCAGTCCTTTGAATGATGACAGCGCCTCAGTGTCAGGTGCTAAAGGTCTTCATTAGCCCACTCTTGACCACTACTTACCGACCAGAAGTATTTCATTATGTGTGTACATGGATGACATGTGATTAATTTACACTAATTTTCAAATAAACTTGCAATACCAGGTTTAATACCACAGCAAATCATTATAAATGCTCCTTTTGGACAATCATTTGTAATTATAATTTGTCTATTGGCGGGTTGTGTGGGCAGCAGTGTAAGCCGAAACGCCCAGATTTCCCTATCCGCACACACTTCCTCCAGCTCATCCAGGGGAATCCTAAGGCGTTCCCAGGCCAGCTGGGAACCTAGCTCTTGCTCGAGGCTTTCTCCCAATGCCTGGAACATTCCCCCAGGGAGACGACCAGGAGGCATCCAGAACAGATGCCCAAGCCACCCCCTGGCTCCTCACAAAAGTGGAGAAGCAGCGGCTCTACTCTGAGCTCTGACTGAGCACCTCACCCTAACGGAGGGTCCAAGGATTCAACTGAGGACACATTTTAACCGCTATCCATGGAATTTGTAACAAAACATTTAAATTATAATATTGTTGATAATTTTTGAATCAAAATGTGATCAACCGATGTCAAATGTTGTCCTGTTTATGTAATCATAATTAGTAATATTACTTAAATTAGTCTAGTTTCATTGTTAGCTTTATTACTCTTTCACACTCTTTTTGTACACTAAAGTGCATTGATTGGTTAACACATTTTGGGTACATGGATAATTAAATACATTTGTTTTTGTTTTTTTGCTCTTGAAATGATAAACAAAACACAAACCAAAGACCACAGAGAGTTGTTAGCTGTGTTGAAATGAGACACACTAATCTTTCAGTTGGGTCCAGATGGTTAACCAGTAGCTGCAGGCGAGCTGCAGGATTTTAGCACTATAAAGAACACACTCCATTCCTTCTGCTATATGCACAAATCCTTGTGAGAATAATTGCTTGAATAGCAATGAATTGCATCATCTTCAGCGTTATTATTAATTTAAGTGTTAAAATTAACAGAACAATTTAAGATTATTTTTGATGAAGGCGGAAAAAATAAGAAGTGTCAGCATCTTGGCACACAGAAATCTTATGAATTGTAATAAAACTGATCAGAAGGACAAAAGATTTCAGAAACAGTGCCAATTTCCCAGGGGTATTCAAAAAGAACAGAGGGAGGAGAATAGAAAACAACCATGCCACTAAAAAGCTGTAAGACTGGCTGAAGCACAAACAGACCTCCTTGTGAGAGGACCAGCTCTGGGCACATAGAAATGAAAAAGGCTAAAAATGATTGGCATTTGAAAAAGGAAATGATGAAGCATTGGTAAGGACTTGGCATCGTACAAAATAAGAATATTGGCAGAGAAAGGATGAAGGTAAAGAAAAAGCATGCATCTGCTTTAAAATGGTTAATTCTCACATGGCTCACAAGTCCATCTGCTGGGGAGAAACATCAAAGATCAAAGACTGAAAGCAGAAGAAGACAGTAATGAAGCCAGCAGAAACCGGCAGGGGAACACTGTCCAGCATTTCTGCTAAATACTCTGAATCTATTTATAGAGACGCGCTGAGTATTATTACGGTATCTTTAGAGAACCAAAGTCCTGCTGGTGCAGGGAGAAAGGATCAAGTCTGAAAAGTCAATCTTGTCATTTTGATGAAGCTCTCTGTGTCTCTCTGGGCGAGTCATGAATGATGATTGTGCTGCTCAGTCCACTAAGCCTTTTGCTCTGTTATATTTAAAGAACAGCCATGAGAAGGACAAAAGAGTTCTCACTAAAATAAGAACCGTATCAAACTAACCAAGAGACACATTGTCTTTGGTGTGGGTGAAGATGATGTAATACTGTGCTTTTATTGTTTAATTTCTCATCCCCTCACTATCCTCACATTTTCCTCCATCTGCCCCCGGCCTCACGGCACACTGATAAAGACGGATGCCATAGTTGCTGCACTAGGGCCCACAGGCTGCGGGGTCATTTTTTTCTCTTTCGCTTGTTTGATGATGTGATTTTGTTATCTTCAGAAATAGATTTGTCTCTAATGGCTCTGTTTACCTAACCCCTTCCCCAGCCTTTTGGGCGCATGGAGGATGGACACTGGATATATATTTTGGTGTGGCCAAAGACTATACTGTATACACATAAAAAACAGGTATGGAAGATGTAATGGCCTCAACTATAAATTACATCAGAAAAATAAAAATTAGAAGGCATGTACGCAAACGTACAAGGGCTGTAAGGAATTTCTGGGTCGACTAAACAAAAGCGTTGTCCATCAATCAGTCGACAAAAACGGGGACGCAGCAAACACTTCTGACCCAAACTGAACTGCCAAAACCTAAATTTAATGAACAACAACTTGGAAAAAAACATGTAAGATTAATCAATATAGATATTGATTCAACACGGGAGCTGTAAAGTCTAACCTGGTTTGAAGATACAGTAAATAGACCAAAATATTCTGGCATTTTGCGTCAAAACTTTTCATTTAGCTGTTTTCATATCTAAATGTGTATGAGTGTCACCAACATCCCCATGAGCCCATCCATGTATTTGTTTTCTAAGGAAAATAGTCTGTAAGGGCACATCACCTGTGAGAAAAGAAGCACCCTGAAGGCTCTGGAAACCACTATCACAGACTCTCTCTGGGCTAGTTTAGCTACAGTTTGAATGTTTTCTACAGTGACTGCCAAGATTTAGAGGCATTTTTCAAGCTCAAGAATAAAGTGCTCAGGAGACTTTGCCTGTCATCTTGGTTGTGCAATGTGAAGACAGAGAAGATCAAAGCTGCTTTCCCTCCACCTGTCAGACAGTTTTACCTGCCTGGAAGAAGCCCAGCCTCTTAAGCTGTGACCAAAAGAGAATAATGTCCCCTGACACTCCAGGCTAAGGAGGGCCTCAAGGCTCATTCCAACATGCTGCAACGACCACGAGGAGAGAAAGAAGAGTCAATTAGGTTTTCCTTTCATTGTCAAGATGAATAACGTGGCCTTATCTTGTCTGTGCAAACAAAGAAAGGAGACCTGTAAAGCTGTAAGTTGATCCCAGAACTGGACTAGAAGCTAGCCCAGGGGGTGAGCAGCAGCCAGGCCAAGCCCTGCTCCAGGCATGTACTAAGAAAATGGAGCTCCATGTGAAAGGCCATGGAAAGCGATGGCTCTCTAACCCTTCCACTTGGCAGTTAAAAGTGCATGCAATACTGTAGACATGGCTAAAACAGTAAAGTCAGTTGTAAAAGTCAGTAAGACATAAGAAGAGTGCTCACTTAAATCACATTCAGCCAGGGCTTAGGTGATTGATGCAGGCTGCCTATGCATCTGCAACACAGGCACACAGGCAATCTAAACTCTTTTAGGTGTGCATGCGCTGAAGTGAGGAGAGAACCGGCACAAACCAGAACAAAGCAACGCAAAGAGAATCCATTATCAAAGTGATTTTAGTGAGTTTGAGAAACATTATTATAACCATAAGACAGGTAAGTTATGTATTTATTATTGTGTCATTAGTTAGTTACTTTATTATTACTTTGGCCTTTGTCAGCAACTGAAATAATAAACGTCAGAAAAACTTTAGTTTGAAGTTAACATAACATATAGAAATATCAACAACATATAAAAAATCACATCCAATATCTGTGTACACACATACTTTTAGGCTCAATATTTGTACCAATCATAAAATACTTAGGTAATCTCAGACCAGTGAAGTCTGTGAAAGTGGTTTACAATTGTTGTGTGCATTTGTCCCTTACTCCACTCAGAGATGGGAGTGAGGTCGCCATACAGGAGGCGCATGCCAGACCTATTGTACATGCTTTTAGTGGTAGGGGAAACCGGAGAACCTGGAGGAAACCTACGGAGACACGCCCTGTTCCGATCGGAATTCGAACCCAAGACCTTCTTGCTGAGAAGCCACTCACTGTGCCACCAAAACACATTAGTATGTCAGTATAGTATGTTAGTATTTATGCACTATGTTCATTTATCTATTTTGTATAACTATCATAGCAGTATAATTGTATTGTTAATATTACTGTTGTTCATTCAGTTGTTGTTGTAAACAGAGAATGTTTATATTCACCACACAGGTCTCTGCATGGATGATGTACACTCACCGGCCACTTTATTATGTGCACCTGGCTAGTACCGGGTTGGACCCTCTTTTGCCTTCAAAACTGTCTTAATCCTTCGTGGCAAGATTAAACTATGTACTGGACACGTTCCTGAGAGAGTTTGGTCCATATTTGAAAGCAAGATGAAGTTTCTGCAGATTTGTCGACTGCATATCCACTATGCGAATTTCCTGTTCCACCACATCCCAAAGTTGCTCTATTGTATTGAGATCTGGTGACTATGGAGGCCATTACAGTACAGTGAACTTATTGTCATGTTCAAGAAACCACTCTGGGATGATTTGGGCTTCATGACAAGGTGTTTTATCCTGCTGGAAGTAGCCATCAGAAGATGTGTACACTATGGTCATAAAGGGATGGACATGGTCAGCAACAATACTCAGGTGGGCTGTGGCATGGCAACAATGCTCAATTGGTACGAAGGGACTCAAAGAGTGCCAAGAAAATGTCCCCCACACCATTAAACCCCCACCACCAGCCTGAACCGTTGGTACAAGGCAGGATGGATCCATGCTTTCATGTTGTTGACTACCATCCAAATGTTGCAGCAGAAATCGAGACTCATCAGACCAGGCAACTTTTTCCAATCTTATATTGTCCTATTTTGGTGAGCCTGAATTGTAAAAGAATTCTTATATACCAAAGTGGGGCCCAGCAGAAAGAGTATGGGAATCACTGATATAGACTGTGATGCACTCATTGACAGCTTTTTGAAGAGATTTTAGCTCTGTTTACAAATGTATTTTGTGCAGCTTTCCCTTGCCCGTGTAATGGAGGATCTTCAGCCCGTTT